TAGTTTAGTCAGCAATACATGCAATATCCTCGGTCTCTAATGTGGTGCTTACCCGGGTATCGCTCTGTCGCCATCATTGAACTAGTCAGGTGGTAGCGGCTAAGTGAAGCTGACTTTGGACCTCTCCTGTATCATTATCAACCATGGCGGACGTCCATGAGTTTACACCGCTGTCGTCCTTGCAAAAGCTTAGTGCCAAAAGAACCTATGCAATGTTTGGCTCTGAATCGTTGGATGGTCTTCCCGAAAATGAAGAGGTGTATGTATGCTACCTTTGGTCCAAATGTCAGTCGTTAAACCTTCACATTTAGAGCAAAAATGAGGACAAGTATACGAATACGGAATGAATACAAGGATTATACTGCCCTACCGGCTGTTCTCCTCGCACAACAGGCACCAGTCGGCCCAGCCAGACCAAAAACATTAGCTATCACAGCTGGAGGTAGTCATACGTAAACCAAATATACAATGCGGAAGCTGACAAGTATAATGCAGAAACGCCGAGTCCCAGCAATGATAAAGCCCTCACTCTTGCACCTAAACCGCTGAATGGATCCACACTGAACGGCACTTCAACAACCAACAACTTAGCTGTTGGATCTCTTGCTACGAGCACAAACTTTACCAAGGCACTTGCTCTACATAAGCAAACAAAGACCGTCAAGCCGGCATATCACGCACCGTGGAAATTGGTCAGAGTTATTTCGGGACATCTTGGTTGGGTCAGGAGTATAGCAATCGAACCAGGAAATAAATGGTTTGCCACTGGTGCTGGTGATCGTGTCATAAAGGTTAGTTGCGCCATCTCCCATAAGTTTATGACAAGATTTCCTGACCAACACCATATTGGGTTGAAATAGATCTGGGATCTTGCTTCTGGCGAGCTAAAACTTTCACTCACCGGTCACATATCCACTGTACGAGGCCTGGCTGTATCTGGACGGCATCCCTATCTTTTTTCTGCTGCAGAGGATAAGATGGTCAAATGTTGGGATCTTGAATCCAATAAGGTCATCAGACACTATCATGGGCATCTATCGGGAGTGTATGCATTAAGGTGGATACATCGTTTCATTTACAGGTGAAGGGTTCAATGCTAATCCACTGAATTCAGTCTGCATCCTACTCTTGACGTTGTGGTCACAGCTGGAAGAGATGCAACCGCTCGTGTTTGGGACATGAGAACCAAAGCACAAGCTATGCTCCTTGCTGGCCATACTGCGACTGTCGCAGATGTCAAATGTCAGGCGTCCGATCCTCAAGTGATCACTGGCAGTATGGATACGACTGTGCGGTAAGAATCAACATTGACGTTTTTATGCAGAACCTAGATTGAATCTTTGTTTAGACTATGGGATCTTGCTGCAGGGAAAACAATGGTCCAGTTGACCCACCATAAAAAGTCAGTCCGGACACTGACTATCCACCCGGTCGAATATTCCTTTGCCACGGGTTCTGCCGGCGGGAATAACATCAAGAAGTGGAAGTGCCCCGAGGGCACATTCGTACATAATTTCTCTGGTCACAATGCCATCATCAATACCCTATCCGTAAATGAAGATGGTGTTTTATTCTCAGGAGGTAATACTTCCGTGTTCCGATACTTTAGTAAGACCGTTGACCACCTTCTCCCCAGGTGACAATGGCACATTGACCCTATGGGATTACGGGACCGGAGTGCCATTCCAAAATATAGAGGATATTCCCCAACCTGGATCACTCGAAGCCGAAGCAGGCGTTTTTTGTTCAGCATTCGATCTGACAGGAACTCGACTGATTACTGGTGGTGCTGATAAAACCATCAAAGTACGTGAGGGGGTCATGTGCGAGGCAGCTATAACTGATCAACCTTTTTTTAAGGTGTACGCCGAACAGACACGCTAATCCTTGCGCAGCTCTGTCATATTTATAACGGTTCCTTTAAGTAATTAGACAGGCAGTCTCAAAGCATAGGGTTGACGAATTTTTACGGGGCGCGGATTAACCAATGAGGAGAGGAGTCGGCGGGTTCCGAAGATAGAGAGGGGTTCTCAAGGTACGCTGATAGGGCGCGTGAGCTGTTCTCGATTAGGCGAAACCCCATCCCAGAAGGGTAGTTGAGATGTATGAGTAGTATGTGCACCCAAGCCAACAGATTGGACTCTACCTCCCCGTTGTTTTTTGTATCTCAGATGGCCGTGAATGTACAAAGACGGCATAGAGGACATAGTTTATTCTTCACCCCACTTTCTGAGGCAACAGAACCATCCATAAGCAATACTCGTCCAGCTGCGAGGAGACAGACAAGGACAAATGACCCAAATAACGACAACTTTGGGTCAAACCCGCCCTCTGGGCGTATTCCTCGATCATCCTCTTCTCCCCTGCTATATCAAGTTCCGGCTCACAGCTCAGGTAGCCTTCGTGGGTATCCAACTCACGAACAACAAACAACAAAACATCCTCCATTAACAAACTCGCGCTCTCATTCCAATCTACCCCGCGTTAGGTCGGGCTCGCAACCACTACATCCTTTTTATTCCCAGCCACCACCATCTCCTCAGTCACTCATTCAGCCCAAATTCGGAAATTCTAGTCAGTATAGTGGATCAGACGCCGAAGACGACGAAGACAATACCGAAGGGGAACTTTTATCATTACGAAACAGGAGAGGCAAAGCCTCCACTCGCAAAACCTCGAGTCCGCTAGTATCGTCCACTTCTGTTCATACTAGTGGAATGGTTCGGAGACGGACAGTTGCAGAACCACAAGAAGAAGAGCCTGTGAGTTTAAATAAACCCAATTTTTGTTTATAGTCTAGAGGCTTCAGATGTTAACGCAATATCTCAACCTACTACCATTAGCATGAAATGCACATGGATAAGCAGTCATTTTCCATCGGATTTAGTGGGAATACGATCCATTGGAGTATCAATATTGCCCGTATCATGCCCATTCTCTTTCAGTGTCTCAGAGTGCTCGCGGTCATCCCAGCGTCTGTCGAAACGCTAGGCTTATTGGCGCGGGTCTATAATCCAATACGAGCCTATGGTAATGAGAACACGAGACTTGACTATGTCGCCGCAGCAGCATGGGTGAGTATGCCTTCCTCACTGGTCGCAGCTGCGTTGCTCATCAGCCCAATACCAGAGCATCCTAACTGCTTTTCAATGCCTGTCCTTTACCACAGGACTCTTGAATAGGTGGCGGCATTACTACCCGGATACAGCAACTTTGATACGGCTCATTGCACTCCAGGCAATATGCTGGCCAGCCACATTCTATACCCTGCGACTCTTAAAATATGACGGCATTGAACGGCCTTTGATGTCCTGGGCAGTTATTGGAACAACAACCTGCGTATGATCAAAGTCTTTTGAACATGATACAAGACTGACGGTACACTCATAGATAACAAGGTCCATCCAGATGTGGGTGACGTCTAACATAGAAGAATGGCATAAAGACCAGGATTCCAAATCCTACTATAACCCTCATACCGTCGCGTCAATTGCACTAGGGTTTGGGGAGAAGAAGGTACCAGGGGGGAACGAAACCGAGCGAGAAGAGCTTGGAGATACTCCGAATCATAGCCGCAAAGGTCGTCACGTTAATGGCAAGCAGAATGGAACAAATGGACACGGTGCGAGGGTCAGAAAGTGGCACTGGAATGAGATAGTTTGGAAATGTGCCTTTCCCGCGGGTATCTGCTATTTCTTTATGGCATGGGCCATGCTTTTGAGCAGAGAACTGCATCGCGACCAATCTTATAACTCAAGATGACACTCTACTATTCTATGCATATTGGCTTCCTCCCAAATGGGCATTGGTCACTGAAAACACATCCCGGAGCGACGCTTTCAAGAGGATGACATGTTTCATAATCAAATTCTTGTTTCGACTCTCAATTTGGTCGTGCTAGGGCATCACCTTGCTATTTTTCCTGCGAAACATACATTAACCTATTCCTCACTCGACTGTACTCAAGATCGCGATCCAGGCTACATCGTGTCTCTATATCAGGCATCAAAAGCTTTCGGCGTGTACATAATATCAGAGCCTCCTTTCACTCGATCACTTCACTGTTGTCACCCCATGTTTATGTGTATTTGTTTGGCTCATTACTTGAATGCAGTTTTCTATTCAGTGGTTACATTTGTTTTTTGAAGAATTCAACAAGCCATCAACGGCGCGGGTCAGCATCATATGGTGGCAAACCCCATTCTTCGGGTATGAAATTTTCTAACGTAGAGATTTTGGGTACGTCGAGTTTAGGATCTAGAGCCAACAAGTTTGCGTCTGGAACCCATACCACTGATGGAAGGTGGTGAGTTTCTTTGCTACTTCTGACAGTTATCAATGGCTCACCTTGCATTCCCGCCCTAGAGGCAGCTTCTACTCCTGGGATGCCATCCTCAAAGACGAGCCCCCTTTTCCTTTCCACTTTCTGTTCTTCAGATACATCTATTTCATCTCTCCCAACATTCCTACCAACCATCTCCGCCGCACATAAGAAGATATCAGGGGCTGGCTTCCCTCTTACTACCTTTTCGGTACCCCATATGCTTCTTCCCATGGGGCCATCGTCGCCACAAATCACCTTCTCTCTGAATAATTGAAAGACCTCCACCTTCTCCTTGGAGCACCTCTCATCGGCCGTCTTTAACAAGAAGTTTCGACGAAGAGAGCCTGTCGCCACCGCAATGGGGATATTATGAGCGTGGAGATGCCTGACAAGTTTGGCAGCTCCTGGAAGAAGAGAAACATGAGGCCACTGTAGGTCCTGTAAACGTCGCCGTTCGGTGATGTAGTCATCCACGCTGAGGTGCTTTTCGATTCCAGGAAGGAGAGCCCAAAGCAGCTCCGCGCTAACACGTTCCGCTGGAAATAGAGGTGTTAAACACTGGTAAATACCGAGTATATAACCTGTTGAATGAATGTCTACAGACGTTTTCCCATCAACTGGGACTTGATATCCCAAGTCATCTCGAAACCATATCTTCCCAGAATGGTATCTTAAGTATAAGAGTGTTAGTGTCGGGTTGAAATGAGTCTCTGATTTGCAGGCGCCTGCACTAACTGGTTACTTCAGTGTACACTCTTTCCGAGTCACTGATAAAGTGTGGCATTAGTAGAGCGGTCAGTTTCAACAAGAATCCTTCACAGTAGAAGACCATCCATATCGAATAAGACATATTCTACTTTGCTCTTGGGTCCCTCCATTTCTCTGCTGTAGATCTGAGTCGGAGGTGAGGCTATTAGGGATGGTCGATTCTAGGGTGCCCACTCCACTGGCGACCACCACTCTTTCTACTTGATCTCCGAAATGGGAATTTTGAATAGTAGGGACTAGTGAAGGCTTGTTGCTTTGTGTCTTGTTCGTTGGTTTGTTTGGGTGGCGTGTGTCGGGGTTGGCTGATTTTACCGATCAAACACCATTTACTCTTAACCGGAAACAAAGTCTCTGCAATAATGGCTGACATTGAAATGCACATGGGGTATGCGATAACATTTCTCTCAATCATCAAGAACGCGCTTGTTGACGCGTTCTGTATAGGGACAACGCGTCTGACCCTCATCGCGGGAACTACGACCGCGACGATGCCATGAAAATGGAGCCTGAAGAAGAAAAGGTCGCAGAAGAGAGCGAAGAAGAGTCATCTGGAGCCGAGGATCAGACCCACGAGGAGGAATTAGAACAAGAGGATCCTGAAGCACTTGTGGTCAGTAACGCCTTTGTATAACGAGACGATCGGTTTTTAAATTCGATGATATACGTCTTTTTTTACAGGAAATTGATCCAGCTGCCGTTGTACCAGAGCGCATCCGTCCCCAACCCCGCGTGGACTACACAACTCCGGAGGCGATAGAAAAGGCTGGGTTGACTGGTGTTCCCGAGAACCCACAAGAATACGAAGATGGAGAGTATGTGAGTCCCGAACCTGTGGAGAACGTCGCCGCAGAGGATGAAGACCACAGCATGCAACAATAATAATGGCCACTACAAATGGGGGAGATACTACAAAACTCCGTCGAAATGGCCGTTGATGTCGGCTTGGGCCGTATCACCAAAGTAAAACACAGATTTCCTGTATCCAAACATCGAAAGTGAAATATACATCGCATGTATTGCGTCCACAGTCGCCCCGTTGAGTGAGTGCCAGTGCCTGGGCTGAGCGCCGTCGCAGTAAACCGCAGCTTGTACTCGACCCCTACCATCCTTAAGACCGACTCGGCCTCATAGCCTTTGTAAGACGCTGTGCTCATTCTTCCCCCTCTCTCTACTTTAGAACCCTCAGCATCGTCATCATAACCATGTCGCTGCTCTGTTGTTTCTCTTCAATGGCCTCCAATGGCCCCGATATCTCGCTCACTCTTGATTCATCTGCAACCTCCTTCCTCAATGGTCAACTCTTGGATGACTCCAGGAATCCCCTGTATACTATCGAGACTGTTGAGTCGGTCACCAGGATTACATCGACCCAAGTCCAGCGAGACCGGAGGAGAGGCACAAGGGCTGTCACAAATACCGTAGCTAGCATCCAATGGCCTCATCGACATACATTCATGTCGAATAAAAAATGTGGGGTAAATCCGTTACCCGATGCCTCCGTTACGATGAACGGAACGACTGTCCCCGCTAGGCGCTTGCTTCGACTACGAAAGCTTGTCCTGTAAGACGATATCATATACATTTTAATCGCATTTCGCTGATGTATGGTACCTTATTTACAGGGATGGGACGTCTTACAAATTCCGAATCGATGGCTATACCCCTACCTTCCGCTGGAAGCGACAGGCAGGCCAACATAACGTGAGTGTAACCACTACCCTATGTGTGATATCATCTAAGCATGTCACTAGCTTTATGTTTCCGGTTTGCGACAACGGTTGGCTACGGTCACATGTGATACCCTGACGAGCACATTTTTGCTCGAAATTACGGGCGCATCGATACCTTCTTATCATGCTCAAGATCGCCCTGGATCCATTTCATCCATACTACTGGATCATATTGTCGTGACAGCAATGTTACTCGTTACACCACCATTGGAGTGGCGACGAGAGTGTGGTGCCACGACCACTCGTATGACAACTACCACCACGGCCTCTTCCTTCAGTGAAGAGCATCCTCCTGCATTTGTCTACTTTAGTTCTGCGCAGAGTCCTTCGCGGGAACAGCGTGCACTGCGGGACCCATTTGATGACTGCCAAGGCACTGCCATGAGAGCGGTCAGCATGAACTCTCCGATATCTTTCACCCCTGTAGTTCAGAGAAACTCAGAGTCTCAGGATCTGGGTCTGAGAAGGCACCCCAGTGCCACCAGCACGGCCTCCAGCCGAACTCTTGTTCATAATCTCATCAACACTGTCTTCTCCGCAGTGCATTCAGATCAAACTGCCATGTTTGAATCTACCACGGATGTCACGACTTCAAGGAGGACGAGTAGCTACTATGGACAAAGCATTGAGTCCCACAATGTCCCTCCACCCTATCAAAGGGTCTAGCAACCTCGGCATTTCCACTCTCTCTTAGGTTGTCTGCGACAACATTCCTGCACACTCCTTCTCAAAATTCGTTTTAGACCATACCGATTCTCATCTCTATCAGGAGAATATTTGTACATTAGTGATTAGCCAATAGAGGACCGAAGTCTAATTTCTTTCGCACTTATTTATGAAACTAAATGAATTAAGATGAATGGTTTACCTCGTGACCCAGGGGTTTACGTGGGTTCGAGCTAGACGCGCCCTTTGCGGACGACCAAATCAGGTCGAATGGACAGCACACTCGTCTCCTCAAATATCCACCGCGATTTCGCGCAGAGCGTGGAGAAATTTCAAAAACATCGCGGAAATCCAGACACGCTCGTTTCTGCGCAAGGGTTAGCGTCCAGCTTCAAAGAAATATGTCAGAGAAGGTGAGATGGCGCGCTCTTTCCATCCTCTGTAGTGGCATAAAGCTGACAACCATGACTATATCTATCTTTTTAACTCAACTT